GGCCATTTTCTCGCCAAATTTACTTCTGAAACCAGGCGCACCCCCTTCAATCGCAAATATCTCGACTTCGATTCAAGATAAATGAATATTTTTTTCATCAAAAGCAAGGCAAATGAATAACCTTTAAGACAATAAAATAACCCTATATGCCTAAAAAATTGACGAGCGCCTGATTCCCCCACGTCGAGACACATACATGTATAATTAAATACAAAAATTTTCATCTCCTACGAGCAGTTCGCTCACCGACTGAGTGCCTGTGCCTTTTGGAAAACCGTCTTCTTTTACTTTTAGTATGTGTTTTACGGCACTTGCAACACAATCAGGTCATATAAGTGCCGAATATTAGAGGTTTTACAAGAGAGTAAAAAACACAAAAAAGAAGGAGGGGACATAAAGACGATAGATGTTTGATAGAAAAGAAGAAGCTAACCACACCGGAGCACCAGCCAACCACCCACAAACCGCCTTCGTCTGCCGAGTCTCACTGTGCGGGTTTTGCCAGCCCACAAATTGTGGTGATGATAATATGATCCCCCTCCCCATCATCTTCATCTTGTCTCAACGACCCATTCATCATCTGCAGACACAGACTCGATTTAAATAGACCCGCAGAACATTGTAACCATTCACAACTTCGCCTCTAAAAAAGATAAAAGCTTAAGAAGACTGATTATCTTTGTGTAGGTTTACCAGCCTACAAATTGGTGATATTATTAATATCACCCTCTTACCTATCATCATCATCATCTCTTCTCAGCGACCCATTCATCATCTACGAGCACGGACTCGATTTAAATAGACCAGCGGAACATTGCAACCATTCACAACCCTCGCCAGTTCGCATTCCACGGGGCTTTTAAGGCGTAAGGGGCGTTCCTTTCGACTACAAAACGGCTCAGTGGGCAAGCGCCTTGACAATATATAAAAAAACCCCTATAAATTGATATAAAATGCAAGACGACATCATTACACACAGCGACAGAGTAGGGGGACGCTTCTGCACGTCTGCATGTAACTCTTTGCATTTCAGCTTGTAAGGCAGAGAATAGCTTGACAGTAGAGCGACGTGGTAAAAGATTTATTGCAGCGACTCTCTCTCTCTCTCTCTCTCTCTCTCTCTCTCTCTCTCTCTCTCTCTCTCTCTCTCCGACATCTTTATCTTTCTGCTCCCCTTCCCCCTCTCTTCCCAGTTTCCCATTTTCCCATTTTCTTTATCTTACAACTAAACTTAAAACACTCAAAACCAGCCTTTCAAGGACGCTTGCACCGGATGGACATCAACTTAAAACAAGAGGTAACGTAGTTCATAGACGACTTCTCCTTCAATTCTTATCTCAAGAGCCGATAAAATTCTTCCAGAGCCAAGGAACGGTTGAAAATATGTTGATTCAACGGTATCTCTTCCTCTCATGATAGTCATTCACAGAATAAAAGTGCTTACTTGAGGAAACAGGCAAGTGAACACACATCCCTTCCACAAACTCTTTTTAAACTGTATACATGCATTCACAAGGAATATAATATAATGCTCAGTGTTGTAAACAGAAATGACCAAGAAGCAACGGGTAAGGAAAAAAAACCCAGTTTGTCTTTGAAGTTGGAAAACAAATTTTAACCTGGAAAATAAAAGAAAGACTAGAACAACATTATGACAACTTACTAAGCTATGCTTGCCACCACTCCACCCTTTAAAGATTGTAAACGTTCCATTACTTAATGCCCTCATCAACACAATGTAGACCATTTACAAGGCTACTCGCCTTGATCATGCTTTGGTTCCAGTTTAAGCCAAAAGGTTTAGCACCACTAGCACCCAGAAATAGGACGTTATTTATCAGGTCAAAGACAAGAAAGTAACATAAAAAGGAGGAGAGAGAGAGAGAGAGAGAGAGAGAGAGAGAGAGAGAGAGAGAGAGAGAGAGAGAGAGAGAGAGAGAGAGAGAGAGAGAGAGAGAGAGAGAGAGAAAAGAGAGAGAGAGAGAGAGAGAGAGAGAAAAGGATGAGTTTTAGTTTTAGTAAGAGTTTCACAGCACTTGCAACACAATAAGGTCATATATATAAGTGCAGAAGAATAGATGTGTTACAAGAGAGTAACAAACACAAAATAGAAGGAGGGGAGACACAGACGATAGCTGCTTGCCCGCCAACCACCCACCAAATGAATATAAAAGAGGAGAGAGAGAGAGAGAGAAAAGGACGAGGGATGTGAGGCGGGGAAAAAAGAGCAAACAACACCAGAGCCACAGTCGACCACCCAGTACCCAGCCACTTGACCACGCCTCTTCAGAGCTACGCTTGGAAGAGTGAGTCACCGCACTTCAATAAACAGACAAATATTTGCCATAAAACAACCTCTCCACTCTCCACGCAGGTCAGACAGGAGACAGATCATAAAACAACCTCTCCACACAGGTCAGGAATCAGACTCACGTCTCATAATATAATATTGTGCAACACTGAAGGGTCAAACCATCAGAATTACACCACCACAGAGGACAGTGGTGAAAGACAGTTTAGTTTAAGTAAGTAAGTTTAGTTAGTTTATTATGGGGTTTTACGGCGCTCGCAACTGCATATGAGTTCAATAAGTGTTTTGCGGCACTTGCAACACAATGAGGTCATATTTATAAGTGTCGAAGATTAGAGGTGTTACAAGAGAGTAACAAACACAAAAAAGAAGGAGAAGGGAGAGACAAGGACGATACATGTTTGATAGGAAAGAAGAAGCAAACCACAGCAGAGCACCCGCCAACCACCCAGTGATGAAAGACAGACAGATCGAGTGGTTGCATAGCATCGGCCAGCTGCTAAAATTATGTACCAAGCCCAAATTTGGGGAAACTTTTTATTTTCATTACAGTTTCTTAATCTTTTCTTTCGTATCGGTTGAATGTGATACGGAAATACTTTGTTGAAAAATTCAAAATCGAAATATTGGAAAACAAGAAAGAAAAAAAATGTAGGCACAGATGTTAAAAGAATTAAACAGTTTTTTCCTCTCTCCCGTAAAACGTTGCTTTCTGAGCTTAAAGCATTTTAACAGCTTGCTGACAACGATAGTAGAATTACACTTCTTGATCCCTTAAAGTTAAAGGCACCCGCTCCCATTCCAATAGTCTGCACATGAGTCATTGAGGTATTTTTAACCATTAGACATACAACGTTCCAGATTCAGAAAAGTGGAACAGGTCCTATGAATACCCATTCAATGTACATGTGAAGAAAAGACGATTGCACAAATGATTATGTGAGGAAGGTCTAGACAACTCCAGGGTTTGAAAGCAAAGTGTGCCCATATCTCTATAAATTTAACATTTCTCTCTCTCTCTCTCTCCCACTCACTCTCTCTCTCTCTCACACACACACACACACAAACACACACACACACACACACACAAATAAGATACCGAAATGTCTCACTCCCTAAATCAAACAGACAAATACATAAACACACTCACAAACACACATAACAGGGCAGGAATGGCTCAACAGGAAAAGGGAATAAAATCACTGACAAAGAAATTAAAAAGGTTACTTTTTTATACACTGTAAGGAAGGCTTTAACATCAGGAACTTGACAGGAATGGGTTGGGAAGAGGTTAAGTATGCAGGTATTCTAAACACTGCACCCACACAGATCGATCACACTCCAAGATATATTATGTATTCATACTACTTGTATCCATCTGGTAAATGCACGCACACACAAACGCACACACACACATACGAACACTCACTAAAATAAATGATAAATGAGCCCTTGCTAGACCCCATAGAAAAAAACAAACATCTTGTACAAAAAAATAAGGAATAGTTTCACTTTAAAAAAGATAAAATTTTTTACAAGTTTTAAGAAATTTATAACACTCTTTACAACAATAACATCCAACAGGATAACCAGGCATGTGCTCCATTTGGCAAATGAAGGTAAAGGACAGTAACAGTAACACTGAATATCATATTACTTACTGACAATTATTTCATCTTTCTTTCTGCTATAGATTTGTTTCTCTACATATAAAGGATAGAGGGGAAAAAACACCTTGTCGGAAATTGTCGTGAAAGTAAGTGAAAGGAAAGGGTGCACAGACAAAAGAAAACACATTATAAAACCACTTACGATGAAAGATAACAAAAGAAAAATATAAGAAAAGCAATCTCCTCTCCCTCCACACACAAAAAAAATGTTAAAGGAACTAAACAAAAAGTCATGGCTTGTAATTAGAGAGTGCCATTGGTAAGCTCGACTAAAATTTTTCTTTCCCTCCATTGATTAAGCCTGCCCATATTTCTTCCCCCCCAACTAGAGCAGTGCTACTGACTGAAGTTGTCTTTAGGCCATTCCCAAAGGGGGGATATTAACATGTTCTTATACACAGTAGAATTGTAAATGGGCTGATTTATCAATGTCATGCTCATATTATACTGTGCCGAACAACATTGGGGGAACTGCTGCTTTTTCTTCCCTCATCCTTACTATCGTCATTCTCCTCTACTTTCTTAGTGTACGTTTGTCACTCTCTGGTGAACTGCTATTTCCGGGGTACCTCAACAGTCGAAGCAGACTTTGTGCTGTTGAGGCTAGAGAGGTGAGCAGAGTAAGCCTGACTTCCCGTTTGGGCTTCACTGTTGACATCCACCCCCTGGCGCTCATATGGCATTTTATGCAGTTGCGAGAGCCGTAAAACCTTACTAAAACTTAAACTTTTTAGTTTAGTTTTAGTAAGAGTTTTACAGCACTTGCAATACAATAAAGTCATATTTATATAAGTGCCGAAGATCAGAGGTGTTACAAGAGAGTAACAAACACAAAAAAGAAGGGATTTAGAGATGATGGTTTTTTTAATAGGAAAAAAGCACACCAGAGCACTCGCCAACCACCCACCCACAAACTAACCCCCCCCCCCACAAAACAACTATTACTGGATTACCGTGTTGACATCACTCTCTCTGTACTCAAACCAAAGAAGCGAAACAAGTGTGTGTAAACTACTCACATCGGCTGCTGCTCCCATGAGCGGACTAGGAAGGTCTGGATCTGGCGCGCTGCTGGAAGACTGGACATGATATTGCTGCTGCTCGGGCGCTGAGACCGACACCACATTGGCCGGGAGAGACTGGATGGGAAGATGGCTGCCTTGATGCTCGTTGAGGAAGTGTTGCACTTGCCTCTTTTGGCTCTGTCGCACATGGTATTTGGTAGGGTGTTGGAGCTGAGTTTTCACCTGTTTAAAAAAAAGGGGAAAACTTTACAATAAAGGGAAAATACTTTTCAAATCATTTCATTATATATATATGTGATGTACTAAAGATGTGATTTGTACCCAAGACATAAAATGTATCAAATTTCATGAAGTCAAACTGGAAAAAAAATCCCTGGTTAGACAAATAATAATCAAAATGAAAAATGAGGCTGTTTTTACATTGTATGATTTTAAAAAAAAAAATATATATATCAGAGGCAAAGTAAAAAACAATGCACAGCCCTTGATAGATTTAAACAAAGTAAAAAGAGAATCATTTCACCTTTTTTTAAATCATAGAACAATAATAAAGTCAAAACAAAAACATATATAAGCAGTTGGGAGCTTATAGATTGTAACAGAACAGGAATTAATTTATAACATACCACCACAAAAACTATGCCTCGGCATACACGTATTCATTTTTTCTATAAAAAAACAAGAGATAAACACACAGACTCAGGAACTGACCTGCAACACATTGACAGGAACTTCTGCGGACTCAACAACCCGCGGGACTGTAATACTGTTTGACCCTGTGACATGTAATCCATTTGATTTGCCTAGAACGTGGGCCTCTTGTTCTCGCTTCTCCTGCTCCAACAGCTGCTGCCGTTGTAACTGCTGTTTTAGATTGGCTCTCATGGGTAAACTTGCATTCTTTATCTCTGTAACAGGACTGCAACAAAAAGGCAATAAAAGAAACAATATTAGGAGACTGAAATAGCACCACACCAGACAACCAGTGTAGACAAAGACTTTCAGAGTCTGCTGTACAAACATTTAAAACCGGGCTGACATTTTTAAAAAAAGGAAAGGGAGATGGGAAAAAAAGCACCATATAAAATAATGTCACTTTTTATATTGTCGGAGTCTGACTCTAGTTCTCTATCACCCAAATTAGGTTCCAACATTGACAACATGAAATACAAGTTGTTCAAATTCATAACATCAAACCTGGAACCAGTTTGACACAAGGTACAAAAAAACAAAACAAAAAAACCCCAGAAAACCTCAAAAGATTTGCCAATGCAGAAATCAGAATGAAGAGCGTGCCAAGATTTATTTAAATCAGACGAGAGTTTACCAAAGACGTAAAACAACAAGATGGTTTACTCCACTAAAAAACGTCCAAATCCGCGCTCATGGTCTGATAGTCCAACTATTGCTATTTTCGAGTTTTCTTGTTGACTTCTCGAGAAGACAACAATCACATGTAGTTTGAAAAACAATTTCATTTCATTGTTGCAGTTCTCTATGGCAATCAGAAATATTACGCTCAACTGATTTTTATCAATTTTGACAACACTATCAAACGACATCTCAAGCCTAGTCAAATGTCGAAAACAATCGCCGCTTCCCCCACAGATGAAGCTCAACAAAATAACAATTTGTCGATGTCGCAGTTGGTCCTTCTTTTAACTTTAAGTGTTCTGCATGAGTGCAGACACTTTCAAACTTTTTTGCTCGTAAGTTCCATAAAACTAGTTGAGCTTAGTTTAGATAAAAACAAGATCAATGTACCTGACAGGCAGGTTTCGGCAGGTACCGGTACCCAATACCTAAACTCCCAGCACTACCACCACAGATGGTGTCAAGACCGGCATATAATAGGCCTCCAGTACTGGCCCTGGGAAGGTACCAAGTTGTACCAGCTCTGGGAAGCTGTTTGTTTACAATTTCCAATTCATTGTCAAATTTTCTTTCGATTGGAAGTTGCCGAACCGTACAGTGCAAACAAGCTTTAATGTTATATATGGGGTGCCCATCATGGCTGGATCGGGCCAATCGCCTGACTCAGTTGCCTGAAACTGAACAAAAAACACGTTTGTTTTTGAGGCGATCAGCGCGATCCGCTGATCCCATCCTTAATGGGCACCCCGTATTAGATGCCCCAAACAAAACACCTGATGACCTTAATGAAACCAGTTTCAAAATTTACAATCAAATAAAAAATGAGTTTTGTTTGTTGGCTTTTAAGGCCATTTAAAATAATAATATCAAATCAAATCAAGTTTCTGTGAGCCACTTTGCTTAATTTTTATACACCGACACCAAAAATAACGAACAAAGGAAGCTGAGGAGAGTCCAGATACGCAGGGCAACTAAAGTGTAAAACTTTTCTCCTAGTCCTGGAACCGGTAGGGCCTACTGGCAGCACTTGACAGCTAAATTTTATGCTGATAAAGTACCAGAACTCAATGTTTCAGGTACCAACCAGCACTATTGACAGGTGCAAGGTCTGGAAATTTTCTGACCAACAAGATATACTGTAGAATGGGATGTAAAGCTCAAGTACTTTGTCAGACAGTTCACTTTTACTTGTGGGGAGGAGTTCTGCCGAGGGACTTACCCCGTGACATGGTCCAACAAGCAAACTCAACACTAGAGTTAGGATTAGGGGTTAGGGTAAGGGTTAGGTTAGGATATATAGTCTACCCCGCTCAAAATATCCCCTCTTTTGTGTGTTGTTGGTCGGCCGGCCCTCTGCAGAACTCCTTCCAAATTGTGACACCTGATTATATAATGCTGTTGAAAGCAGCGAGAATAGGCATTGATGAAACGAGACCAAGATTAACAGTGATCTAAATATATATTTATTAAGCCCACAACTGCTCAAGTTAGTTGTTGCTACATTCATCCTTTACTAAGCTAAAAAAAAAAACACAACTCAACCATGACATTATAACATTTCTTTAGCCTTTCATGAAACCACAATAGTGACAATGAGAGCACTCGTAGGATGTTCCAAGTGGAAGTCCTCATCACTCACAGCCATTGTCACATTGAGGCACCACAAAAGATTTTGAGAACTTTTTCTTTTTCCGTTTAATTGCTCAAAGATGTGAGGACAGTAGTAGGCTAAATCAGAAATATTTAGCTAGACTAGCTAATCTAGATTAGATATCTAGTCTCGATGAATGTCTCTCCTCTCTACTAATCTCACATCTCCAGAGAGACTGGATTCTAGTGCAGCAGACATCATAGACTGGGTTTACTTTTACTTAATTTTACAAGTTTATTCTCATCTTTTGAAAAGATGGAAATGCTCACATCTTCTTTTGATTTACAGAAAACTCAATAGACGTCGGAATTCAAACCACCACAAGTGAACTTATTAAAAGACGCAATACACCCCGGTTCGACAAAGTGGATTTTCAACAGCGGCGAGTGGCAAACCTTGGGCAAAAATGTAAACAATTGCCTTCGCGCAGGAAATATTCGCTTCAAAATCTGTATCACAGTGTTTCACTCAAACATTCACACAAAGAGGATGTACCTTTTCCAGGTCAATATACAAGTAATTTCAAGCGAGTGGTAGAGAACGGTAACATCTGTGAGAACCTTTGTTGTTTACGATGGCTTTTTCTCGGCCACGGTCACATCGGTGAGGTGACTCAGCACTGATACTAAGAATAGTAAATAATGAGTTGGGACAGAAATTATCCCAGTTAGCTCCCCTGGGAACACCCACCTTCCGACAACAACTTTGCTTTTCAACTCATAGTAATGACTCTGATCCACCGCTGGGTCCTCCTCGGCACCAAGGAATGACATTAAGTCAATTTCAATCCCAGAATCTGCCATCCCCTCCGAATAATTCATATTTTCCATGGTTCAAGCACAAGGAGGTGGGAGGACTTGTGTTCCCTTCGAAGTCGACATATAAAATCCGCTGACTTCCGGCACAGACCTGAACCGACTCATAACCGCTAACGCCGATTGGCTCGCCAGTGTCACAGGTTCACTGGGACGATTCTCATTCGTCATCTATAAATAGCATCTTTAGTCATGGGAAATCCCTGCCACAGTACACACGGACCCTCAGTAGAGAGGAATAATAAATAAATGGAACCTCAAACAGCTGTTGATCCGTTTGCCTACCGGCTGAGGTCACGATCTCAGATTATGAAATGTCTTTTACGAAAAATATCAACGCACTGGGGGAAAAAAAGAAACAATAAAAATCAGTTCCACTGCTCTGCAAGGCCGACTACAATTATTGGTAAATTAATCGGAATTAAAGCCTGGGGAGCAAGCAGGGGAAAATATAATAATATAATAAAAATCGAAGTGGCATGCAAGGGAGAGAGGTAAGATATCAGTTTCAGTTTTGGCAAAAAATTTTACGGCGCTCTCATAACTGAAAAGGCATATTATTTTCACAATTTAACGCTTTACTTTGCAAGTCAGAATGGTTGAAGTACTTTTATAATAAAAATCAAGTAGTACCGGTGTAGTCATTAATTAATTATAGTAAAAACAATTCAGTTTTTAAAGCAGCAATATTTACACATTACATAAATATCATTACGGCATCGACAGTTTGGAGGAAGGACAATGGCTAGTGGTCTTTATAAAATAGAGAATTCTGTTGGGATAAATGAAGGAGAATAAAATTCTTTTTATAAATTAGTACATATTACATGTATTATTCTTATGTACTTTTAAAATAATTATTTCCGTTTTCTCTAATTTTAAGTCAGGACATTCTGATATCGTTAAGTTAATATCACATTCGATAGGAATTAATGTCTCCTCCCCCCCCCCCT